TCCTCCTGCCTCAGTCATCAGAATGCCAGGCTACAGGATGCCTGGCTTCAAAGTAGTATTTTAAGAATATTTCCATTCAGCCAGGCGTGGTGGCACACTCTTGTAATCCCAGCACCTGGGTGGCTGAGGCAGAAGGATCACTGCATGTTCAAGACCAGCTTGGGCTACAAAGTGAGCGGAAGGCCAACCTGAACTACATGGCAACACTCTGTCTCAAAAAGACAAGAAAAAAAATAAGAGTATTTCCACTTGACCATATTCAAATTGGATATAAAAGGGTCAATGAGGAAAAGATATTTTTCTAGATCTAATTGTGTTATGTAAAAGCAGAAGAAAAACTTCTAATCATTAATCTACAACAAATATATTAAGGTTTCCAAAGACAACATCCCAGGCCGGTGTGGTGGTGCACACTTGTTTAGCTGCCTAGCTAAGGGCCGCCTAGGCCACATATTGAGGCCTGCTCAAACTACACACCAAGACCCTGTCTCTAAAACCTCCTCCTCAAAGAAAAAAAAAAAAAGGCAAACAATGTCCCATAACTATGTCCATGATTTCTTTTATATGATTCTTTTAACCTAATTTTGTAACTTGTTAATTAATCTATGAAATGGCTATTTAGCCATGAATCGAGAAACATTGCTCATCAGTAGATCTCAATAAATACCTATAGCATTCCATCATGTCTGAAATCCTATTTGAGCATTTATAAAGTTTATGTTTCCATTACAGAAAATATTATCCAATTTGGTCTTTCTGAAAACTGACATTATCATTTTGAATGAGTTTTCTGCCATTTTGAACCAAAATCCATTGTGTTCAAAACTTCTGCCTAATCACAATGAAGAAAATGAGGCAACTGTCACCCTTCAGGATGTATTTTCTAAAAACAGTTCTAACTTCCTATTGCGGAATTTGTGTACAATGAAAACTAGTTAAGAGTTTCATGACATTACAATGCCTCCAATAAGAAACAGCAACACCCAAGAATTAATCACTTCTATAATAAATTCTTTAAATTCTCTCATTTACCTCATTCTAACATTTACTGAATATTGCTGAGCGAGGTTGCAGTATGAGAATTAATTTATCTAAAGACAGAAATGTCTTTTTTTAAAAAATGTAAACCAGGCATGGTGGTGGACACCTGTAGTCCCATCACTTGGGAGCCTGAGGTAAAAAAGACTGCCACGAGTTTGATACCAGCTGAGCTGCACTGTAAATGCAAGGCCAGCCTGGACTGCATAGTGAGACCTGAAAACCTATACACCACGGCAACCAAGGAGGAGGGGCTGATAGTAAGGTTGCTACAACTGCTCCCGTTTACTGTGTCTTACCTAAAGAACTTACAAGATGCAGAATCTGAGAGGAATCTTGACTTTAGCCTAATGAGACAGATCTCTGAGTTGAGAAGACAGTTGAAAATTCTGGGAAATGAAGACAACTATAATTTGCAGAGCAGAGTACCAGAAAAGAGCATGTTGCATGGACAGGAGAATCACAAGAAAGAGACTTAAAGAGATTGTCTTCCAGCCCCCTTACACCAGGAAAAGAACCACTCAGAAGGAGCAGGAGGCACAATCATTGAGCTTACACAAACAAGAAATAGTTTGCATGTCAATGACCCAGAGTGGGAAAAACTCAAATTCATGGGATGTTCGATAGAATACTTAAATGAGGAACCTAGGCCTATAGGATGGCTGGGCACCACCACCAACAGTTAAAGCAAGCGTAGCAGGGCAGGCGGTTCACTCCTGTAATCCCAGCGGTTTGAACACTGATGGAGGAAGATTACTGCAAGTTCGAGGCAGGTTTGGGCCACATAGTGAGTTAAGGTCAGCCTGCACTATATAGCAAAACACTGACTCAAAAAATCAAAAGAAAAAAGGGACAGACTGAGGACTGTGGATATAGCTCTGTGGCACAGCCCAGTAAGAAGAAGGGAGGGGGAAGAGGAAAGAGGGAGGGGAAGAGAAGGATACAATCAATGCAAAATCAAAACATATGCTAAACAGAAAAATGCAGGAGAGGATACAAATAGAAGAATACTGCTATCTAGCTAGAATACTGCAGATTCATATACTAGGCTAAGATGTAGCTCAGTAACACAGTGCTTGTCTTAGCTGCACAAGGCCTTGGTTTCAATTCCCGCCACTATTTTTTTAAATTTACATATTATAGACAAAAGATGTAATACTACTTGAAGGTAAATTATGACTAATTTGCGTATTATACATAAAAAACAAATTTCCATACTATAAACACTAAAGCAAACACTTGAAAAAATAAACTTTAATAAGTCAATAAAGAAAATAAACGTAATGCAACAGAGAATAAACAGCAGCAAAAGTAGCAGCTGTAGAATAGTGGTTTCCAGTTTTACCAATATCACACACAATTAGAAATAAAATAGTAAGATGAATGAAAAGACAAACAGAGCTGTCAACACTTTTTAGCCAGCTAAAAGCTTACACACATACAAAAACGTTATTACTATCTCACCATCACCAATAATTCATTAAAGGGGGGGCACTTTAAAATTAAAGAAGCAAGCCAGACATGGTAGCACTGCTTTTAATCCCAGCATTCTGGGAGGCTAAAGCAAGAGGATCACAAGTTTGAGCCCTACCTGGACAAGTGAGAAACTTAGCAAGACTCTGTCCCAAAAATAAAATCAAAAGAGGCTGGGAATTTAGATCAGTGTAAGGTCCTGAGTTCAATCCCCAGTATTATAAAAAAAAAAAAAAATCAAGAAACGAGACCAATCACTAAAGAAATATCAAATAGGCCACTTTTATTTTTCTCTCCAAAAACAAAGATCCATTGTTCGCTACACAGCATTTGGTTATCACTACAGTATCATGGCTTTATATACACTGGCACCATGAAAACTGCTGCAGCCAGAAAAAGCCTAAGTGATTACAACACAGAGTATAATCAGCTGATTCACCTTAACATTCAATTACAAGAACACTACTTTAAAAAACGGAATTTCGGGCTGGGGATTTAGCTCAGTGGCATAAGCGTCTGCCTGGCAAGCACAAGGTCCTGAGTTTGATACCTGGTACCGCAAAAAAAAAAACAACGGAATTTTTACCCTTTCTTTTCTGTTTTGTTTTGGTTTTTTTCTCTTTAAATTAAAAAAATAAATAAATAAAACGGATTTTCGGGCTGGAGATTTAGCCCAGTGGCATAAGCGCCTGCCTTGCAAGTGCATGGTCTTGGGTTTGATTCCCAGTACCAACAAAAAGAAAAAATAAAAACGATTTTCTTCTTAATACTGATATCAAACCAATAAACACTAGTAACAATTCTATCAGCAAAAAAAGTCACACTTTTGAACTCCAGAAATTCATCAAGATTAGTAATACAGGGTTAGGGATGTACCTCAAGGGCAAAATGCTTTCCACTCGTATGCATGAGGCCCAAGCACCTCATGCCCACAATACAGCTTAAACCTTTTGCAAAAAAAGTCAACCTGCCCAGATTGAAAAAGGGTTCTCTGTCTACCTCCTGGTGACCTTTGACAAGCTACTTAACTTCTTTGAGTCTTATGGGATTCAAAATACATGCAAATTGCTAGAGTGTGTCAAGATACATAGCAAAAGAGGTAAAGAAATATTAGCATGTTACTATTATATATCTGTTTGTCATATTTCCTGTCTTCATTTTGCCAAATTTAGTCACTCGTGTATCTTTTCTTTTTCAAATAAAAAACGTAATCTGGGGCTGGGGATTTAGCTCAGCGGCATAAGCACCTGCCTTGCAAGCAGGCGGTCGTGAGTTCGATCCTTGGTACCGATAAAAATGAAAAAGACCAAAAAAAACCGTAATCTTCACAAAACCTATACAGTATTTTCCTAACGAGTTCCACCTAATTCTGGTTAATTCAGTTGTTCCATTAGTTATTCATTCGATTACAGCCTACCTCTAATTTTTATTTTTTATTTATTTATTTTGTCTTTTTCATTTTTATCGGTACCAGGGATTGAACTCACGACCGTCTGCTTGCAAGGCAGGTGCTTATGCCGCTGAGCTAAATCCCCAGCCCCGTACCTCTAATTTTTAAACAAGTATTAGTATCGCTAGTAAAACAAGCTACCTTTGATACTATTCAGCTCACAGCAAATTTTTCTCTTGCGCAAAGTAACCGAGTAAAAAAGACCCCAAGTTTTCTCCAGCTCTTAAAAAGTGAACAGATACTGCACAGAAAACCAGCGAGTTACCTCAACGTTGTCTGTCAAACCGTACTCAGCGTGAGGGTTCTCTGCAACCTAGAAAACAAAACACGAGTCACAGAGCTATCACCCTGTCTCTCGCAGTCTCCCGGTACACCACCACCCTAAAAGCTGGGTTTCCTGATACCTGCGTCTGTCCCTCCAGCATCTGCTCTGGCTCCATGGCGGACTCTGAAAATCAGTCCCGGATACCAGTCTTGGAAAAGAAGAAGAGCTACGAGTTACCCGGGAGATTTCAACCAGACGACGCCAGGATGGAATCCTGCCCAGCCTCGGCCCCGCCCCTCACCCCCACCTGGGCGCGGGAGCACCCGGAGCTGCAGAGGGGCACGATGGGCCAGTCCACGACCGGGCGCCCGCATCGAGTCAGGAAGCTCTGTGATAGTCCCAAATACTTAGAATCACTGGGAAAAGAAGGGAAAATTGCAGATTACCCGCGCCCAAGCTGTCTCTTCCAGAGTCTTGCACCGCGCCACTAACTCCCAGCACTAACCGCTCCGGCCGTAAGTGACGGATGTCGCACGACTGTCGCGCTTGCGCAGAGCTTCCCAGCGGGATCTGATCCGGAGGAGTAGGCACGGGCGCCAACGTGCTAATCTGTGAGGCTCTGAGCGGTTTTGGGGGTCCTGGCCGATGTCTGGACCCGGGGGCTGCGACAGAGAGAGTCATTCACTAACATGCTGACCTAAGGCGAGCGCCTCCTCACCGCTGGAGACCTAGTGAGCTGCCCAGCCCTCCAGGGTTGGGCCTGGCCGGCCCTCTGTGATTCCTCTGAACATCGGTCCTGCAGGAATTGATACTGCTTAATTCGCTGGACGATTCTTACCAGCTGAAGCCAGACCCAGGCAGGGTCCAAGCTGAAAGCTCTAGTATAGAGTATCAGTATTTTTGTTTCATTTAAAGTCAAAAGCGAGCCGGGCGTGGTGACTCACGCCTGTGATCCCAGCACTCGGGAGGCTGAGGCTGGAGGATCGTTACGAATTCAAGACCAGCATGGGGTACAAAGTGAGCTCAAGGCCAGCCTGAACTGCATAGCGAGACCTGTCTCAAAAAGACAAAAAAAAAAAAGGGTCAAGAGCCGAGGCAGAGCGTGGTAGCACACATCTGTCATTCCAGCACTGGGGAGGCTAAGGCAGAAGGATTGATGAGAGTTCCAGGTCAGCATGGACTACATAGCGACTTCCTGCCTCAAAATAAACAAAAAAGTAAAATCAAAGGCGAAGGAGGAAGCTGTGTTTGGGATTTTCGTAGTCAAGTTTTTATTCAGGCTTTCCAATCTATGAAAATGAAGTTGTGAGTGCTGCCTTACATTAGCAATCTGAAACTGGCTGTCAGAACCCTGCTACTGACCCAGAGAGGTGGTACAGTCCTGCAATCTCACAATCTCAGCACAAGGGAGGCTGAGGCAGGAGTATTCTTGCAAGTTTGAGACCAACCTGGGCTATGAACAGCCCAAGGCCAGCCTGAATTGCATAGTGAGAACCTGTCTCAAAAAGACAAAAAAAAAAAAAAAAAAAAAAAAAGCCGTGCTACTATTGAGACTGTTGTGTGGGAAAAAAAGAAAATGATGTGTGTGTGTGTGTGTGTGTGTGTGTGTGTGTGTGTCTGTGTGCAAAGGGTAATTGGTCTCTTACACATGAGTTATAAATAGCAAACAGGATCTAGTAAATTGGATTACTTAAAAATCCAGTACATTTTAAGGTAAGTACAAATTATATTAACTTCCTGCCTTTGAGTCAATGATATTTGTTCTTGCACTATGAAAATTCTTATGAAAATTCAAGATTTTACAGTTAAGTATTTTTAGACTAAATTGTAGCATATAGATATAAACTACTACAAGTATGAAAACTGTAAGTATGACTAACATTGTTTCCTGTATCATTCTCTTGGCCCATGTTGGTGATTGAAACCAGTCAGGGGTGCTGTACCACTGAGCTAAAATCTAGCTAGTTTTATTTTTTGATACAGGATTTCACTGAATTGCCCAGACTAGCCTCAAGTCTGTGATACTTCTGCCTTAGATTCCTGAATTACAGGTCTGCACCACCGAGTCATCTATATCTGTCTGTCTTTGTACTGTATATATCAATCATATGGCTGGTAGCAAGTGTTTATGTTACTTGACTAAAGAATACAGTGCAGCCAGTTAGGGAAAAAGTCAGATTTGATAGGAAAGTGACCTGTACCCTCTACCCTTATTCTTATTTCCACTGATGTCTTAAATTCAGGATCTTATGTGATTAACATGACACAGATCTACATTGAAAACTACAGTACTCTGAAAAAGAGATTGAAGAGGATATTAAAATATAAAGAGATATCTCATGGTCTTAGGAAAAACCAATATAATGAAAATACTTCCAAAACCAGATTCAGTGCAATCCCAGTCAAAATTCCAATAACATATCTATGGAATTAGAGAAAACAAATAAAATTCATCTGGAACCAGAAAAGACCTAGAATAGCAAAGGCAATCTTGGGTAACAAAGGCAAGATGGGACATCACAATTCCTGAATTGAAATTATACTATAAAGCTACTGTGATAAAAAAAAAATTGTAGTATTGTCAAAAAAACAGACCTCAAGATCAATGGAACAGATTAGAAGATGCAGAAAGAAACAACTCCAGACACACTGTGTCACCTTATGTTTGATAAAGGGACCAAACACATTCACTGCAAGGAAGATAACCTCTTTAATAAATGGTACTGGAAAAACTGGCTCTACAGATGCTGAAGACTAAAAATGTACCCATATCTTTCACCATGCACTAAGCTAAACTCAGAATGGATCAAAGACCTTAATATTAAAACAGAAACATTAAATCTGCTGGAAGATAGAGTAGCTAAAACTCTTGAAGACATTGGTTGTGGCAAAGACTTTTTGAACAAAACTCCAATTACACAGGAATTATCACAAAGAATCAAAAATGGGATCTCACCCTACTGAAAAACTTTTGCACTCTACTGAAAAAACACCAACAGTGTAAAGAGACAACCCACATTGTGGGAGAAAATTTTGCCAGCAGTTCTTCAGAGGATTACTTTTGAGAACAAAGAACTAAAAAAAAAAAAAAAATTAGTTCTCCCAGATTTATAGATCCAGTCTAAAAATGGACATCTGAGATGAAAACATGTTTCTCAGATGAAAAAAATCCAAATATCAAATAAATATGTGAGAAAACGTTCAATATCACTGGTCATTAGAAAGATGCAAATTAAAATAACAGATTCCACCTCACCATGGAATCAATGGCTATTATCAAGAAATCAAGCAGTAACAAATTCTGGAGGGCTGTGAGGAAAAAGAAAACCTGTTGGTAGGAATACAGACTGGTGCAACCATTTTGGAAATCAGTGTGGAGATTCCTCAAAAAAACTAGAAAGTCCCATTTGACCTAGCAATTCCCCTTCTGAGTATTTTGCCAAAGGAATTAAAAAACATCATACCATAGCAATATATGAGCACCCATGTTTATACTAGTACCATTTTTTAAAAATTTTTTTAAAGAGCAGAATGTATTTATTGAGAGAAAGAAAGCTTCTGGCTGGGAGAGAGACAGAGGGGGTCATGAGTGGGTTGCCAAAGACTGTCTTTTCTAGACATTTATAGAGCAACACCACAAGATGCAATAGGTCTAAGGTGGGGAAAACACGGAAACTCACAAGGCAGGTAGGCATGAAGTGGGACAGAACTATGGTCAACCAATCAGATTAATTGTTCAGGTAAAACTGACTAAATTGGGAACAAATGGGAAAGTGAGTCATATAGAAAGCAGGCATCTTAAAGAGTAGTAACCTAGGAGCTGGGGGTTTAGCTCAGCGGCATAAGCACCTGTCTTGCAAGCAGGCGGTTGTGAGTTCGATCCCTAGTACCAATAAAAAAGAAAAAGACAAAAAAAAAAAAAAAAAAAAAAAAAGAGTAGTGACCTCTTGTAGAGGGTTGGGATGGTGACTTCTGACTTCCTCAAGGTGATCCACACCAGAATATCAACCCCTAATGTTTACACTTAGATAATCTACACTTAGATTACATTTTTTGCCTTCTGTCTTGAGATTAGGCCCTCAGTAGAGGTGTCTTGTCTCCTCTAGGGTTGCAAGGTAGATCTGGTTTCTGCACTGGCTCAGTCAAGGACGCAGCACTGTCTGCCTGCCTATAATAGTTCTAACCAACTCAACTGCCTGTCACATTCCCCCTCTGAAGTAACCCAAACTGCTGTGAGGGACTAATGGATGATGACTGATCTGGCTTCTCAGGCTGAAAGAGGTTATAGTTGTTGATCAGCAGTCAAGGATACTCTGCAGAGTGTCTATCTAAAGACCCTTCATAGACACCAGGCATTTTTATCTTGAGTAGCCGTACAGATTTAAGTCTCTGCATTTCATTTTGGCTCTAAGGCAGGCCACACACACATGCAGAAAAATATCAAATGACTTTTTCAACATGGAAGGATTGAACATATTCCAGTGCTGAATTATTCCAGCTGGAATGTATTCCAGCCAGGGATTTAGCTCAGCGGCATAAGTGCCTACCTGGTAAGTATCAGGTTTTGAGTTTGATCCCTGGTACCACAAAAAAAAAAAAAAAAAAAGTATCCCAAGGAATAAGAGGTTTGACATTGAGTTACCCATGTCTATCCAATGATCTCGGTGGAAGACCTCCAAATGATATAGGGGAATGAAACTCCCAAACTACTACATATCTGGTGAGTTCATGTTCTCTAAAATCAAAGGATGAATTTCAGGAACAATGAAGGTTAAGAGCAGAAATATTTATTGAGAGAAAGAAAGCTTCTGTCTGGAAGAGGGATAGAAGGGATCCTGAGTGGGTTGCCCTAGCCATACAATTTGTAATAACTAGATCTTGGAAACAACCTAAATGCCCATCCATTAAGGAATGGATAAAAAGGATGTATTTTTATACAATGGAATACTACTCAGTTATAAATAAGGATAAACTGGAGACTTTTATAAATAAATGGATGCAACTTGAGACCATAATCACGAGTGAAATAAATCAAACACGTATAAACACTGTATTGTCTCATCAGTGTAAGAAGCTGAAACAACATAGGTATATGTATGGTATATGTATATATGTACATAAAAATAGTTAAGATAGTTATACTACTGATTTCTCTGAGTTCATTGAAGAGAAAAATTTTTGCTAGTATTGTTTGGATAGTCGAATACAGATGTCTTGTGCTCTGGGTAAATGATTTGGGGATGACAATGCACATTGTATATACCATTGTTGCCCCTGATTGACACATTTTGAAATTTGGGGGATTTTTCCTCTTTGAAATAAAATGGATTAGAAAAGTGGGGTGGAAATTACACCTCCTCTAGATTAAGTATTTTCTTTAAAGTAGACTACAAACCAGGCATAGTAACACAGGTCTATAATCCCAGCTATGTGGGAGTCTAAGGTAAAAGGATCACAAGTTCCAAGGCAGTGTGGGCAATTAGAGACCACGAACACTTCATTTTGCTACTCTGCAAAAATCTCATGGATAATTAAGATTTGTTTAGAATCTAGACTTGTGGGTACCTTAACTTTTATGTTATATACTTTATCAATATTGTGATTGGTGACAGCTAGCACATAGCACTGAGGATTTTGTGAGTTAAGACTGAAATAAAGCCAGGTGTGGTGGCTCACGCCTGTAATCCCAGCACTCAGGAGGCTGAGGCAGGGAAATTGTTGCAAGTTCGAGACCAGCCTAGGCTGCAAAGTGAGCTCGAGACCATCCTGAACTGCATAGTGAGAGCCTGTCTCAAAAAGATTTTTTTTTTTTTTTTGTCTTTTTTCTTTTTATCGGTACCGGGGATCGAACTCACGACTGCCTGCTTGCAAGGCAGGTGCTTATGCCACTGAGCTAAATCCCCAGCCCCTTCAAAAAGATTTTTGTTTGTTTGTTTGTTTGTTTTTGTCTTTTTCATTTTTATCGGTACCAGGGATTGAACTCACGACCGCCTGCTTGCAAGGCAGGTGCTTATGCCACTGAGCTAAATCTCCAGCCCCTCAAAAAGATTTTTTAAAAAAAGATTGAAATAAATATGTGGATGCTATGTATAGGATACATAAATTGACTAGTACATATATTAATGCTAATGAAGATTAAATGCTTTACAAAAATGCATAATAAAAGCAACTAAAACCAAGGAACCATTGAGAAAATTTGAGAACAGTTATGTGCATTGTCATGGTACCGTATGACCACACATTTCCCCATATGTAGAAGACAATATATAATTCTGTTATGGATTAAGAACTGGTAGTCAACACCAGCTGGATTACATCAGCATGGCATTGAGCGAAGATGCTCCACCTGAGGAAAGATGCCAAGATAAATAGGTGGAGGGTTGAGGCGTTAAGGAGGCATTATGGGTTCTCCTACGAGTTGCTGTCTGAGCTGTCTGAGCTGGAGAAGCTTTGTTCCTCACATCAGCATTGCTTCCTGGCTTGGGACATGTGCTGCGTGGTCTCCAGGATGAACTCGTCACGCGGCTTCCTGGCACGTACCCGACTGTGCTTGTCCTTGGAGGAGCTCGGAGCCTCTGTGTCACTGAGGACAGCTGTGGTGCCTTTCAGGACAGCCCTGGTCTTTGTCGTGAGTGTGACTTCTCAGCTCCAGCGTAGAACCCTCATCCCACTAGCACAGCTCCTTCATCCTGCTGGCATCCTGCTCCTTCATCCTTTCTGGCTTCCACCACTGACCCTTGGGTCTTCCCAGCACGGATCTGTAAAAGAGACTGGCGTGAGTCCTTCTTGTGGGCTCTGGACCTCCAGTTGGACTCGTGGGAGGCACTGTCCTGAGCTCTGGGTCTTTATCTGGACTCATGTGAGATATTGCTGTGGGGTTTAGGCTCTTGACTAAATAATCTATGTCTTTGGTGTTACGGATAGATTTCCTGCATTTTCCCGTGCTAACTTCCAGTGACCATTATAAAAATATTATAAACTCCATGTCCTAATCCTAGTTGTTCTCTGTGTACAACCCCTGACTACAACAAATTCCAAATTCTAGGAAGTAACTGAAAGCTAATTTACATATAAGGTTGTAACTGTAAGCTCCTTCAAGTAGGAATTGTGTGTTTTGTTTTGTTTTATTTTTCTGAGACAGGGGATCACTATGTAGTAGTTCAGGCTCTCCTTGAACTCATTCTGTAGCCCAAGATGGCTTCAAACTCACAATAATTTCACTGCCTCACCCTCCCAAATGCTGGAATTACAGGTGTGCACACCCAGCAATGTTTTAAATATTTTTGTACTTCATATCATAGGTATATGTATGAATATATATGTATATGAAAATAATTAAGATAGGGGCTGGAGATTTAGCTCAGTGGCTGTAAACTGCCTGCCTGGCAAGCGTGAGGTCATGAGTTTGATCCCTGGTACCGCCAAAAAAAAAAAAAAAAAAGTTAAGATAGTTATACTACTATCATAGGTACACAATATTTAATTAAACTGAATTACTCCATGGTCAAAAGTCAATATTTATACACAGACATCAATAAAATAGAATATACAGGTGTTTATTAAAGGGAACACATGAAATAATTTTCAGCCAGATTTCTCTTAATATAGGAGAGAATGGGATTTAAAACTTATTAATTGATGCGTTCACTTAGAAGGTTATAGCAGAAGAGATGAGTTTTTAAAAAGGGATAGCCAGTTAAGCATAGTGGTACACACCTAGATTCCCAGCATTTGGGAGGCTGAAGCAAAAGGATTGCCTGGAGTTTGAGGCCAGCCTGGGCTACATAATGAGTATAAAGAGAGCCTGAATTACAGAGCAAGACCTTATCTCCAAAAAACCAGGACAGCCAATTGTGGTGGCATATGCCTATAGTCCTAGCACTCAGGAGGCTGAGGCAGGAGAATCCTCACAAATTAGACAGCCTAGCTGCATTGTGAGTTTAAGGTCAGCCTGAACAACATAGTCAAAAAACCAAAAATAGACAGATTGATGACCAGAGATACAGCCCAATGGTAAAGCACTAACATGTCTACCATGCTTAAAGCCCTGGTTTTGAGCCCCAGACAGGAGGAAAAAAGGCTTAAGTGACATAAACCAACAAACAGGAATATTTCGCTTTCGAATGTACCCTACTCACTGAGTACCCGACTTGTCTCAGAGGGATGTGGATCTCTGATCTGTTTGATAGTACTTCGAGGTCTCTTCTACCTCCTCCTTGTGCACCCCAGGCCAATAAATCAGGCCACTGTTTCAGTTACAGATGGTGGCCCCTGTACAAGGAGGAGACCAAAGGTCTGGAGATGTAGTTCAACAGCAGAGGGCTTGCCTAGCATGCCCAAGGCCCTGGGTTAGATCCCCAGCACCACAAAAAAAGAAAACACACAAACAAATGAGGAGACCTAAGGGCTCCACAGGTGTTCATTGTGAGACTCACCAGCAGCCTAGACAGATGTCTCTGTCTGAACCTTGGAGTGATGCATCATTCACAGAAGCACAGGGGAAAGCCCCAGGGGGCCTTCTGTCCCCATATTGGGACCAATTAACTCACCAGAAAGAAAGGGCCAGGCTACTTCCCGGCCTCAACCCCATAAGGATGGAACTGTTCCCAGGCAAAGGTCCCCCAGGCACCTGAACCAACTGGTATTTGAGAGCCTTGATAATTCTACTTAAACAGAATGGACTCAATCGAGAAAACTGTCTCTTGTGTTTATTCTGATAGTAAAATGGCTAACAACAGAGATAACTCTGTTTTTGTATACCGGTCTCTTTAATTAAATTTTAAACACTGTTGATTTGTTCTGCTCAAGTTATCAGACATAGGTTTTTAAATTACCTGCCCTTAAATAAAGAAGAAGTCCAGTCAGAAAGATACAGCCCCCAGGTGGGATTTACAATAGGGAGGAATTGAGTTAGCTAAAGCTGGGTTGAACAGGCCTCCAGCCAGTTGTCCCCCAATTTGGAAAAACCTTGGGGTTTCCTTTTTTTTTTTTTTTTTTTTTTTTTTTTGAGACAGGGTCTTGCCATATAGGTCAGGCATATGCCACCATGCCCAGCATTGGTCATTTCCTTTTATTTTATTTTATTTACTTATTTATGTTTGGTACCAGGGATTGAACTCACGACTGCACGCTTGCAAGGCAGGCGCTTAAAGCAATTCCTTTTAAAACAAACATTGCCTTGCTCTTCCATGAAGGAAATGCCACTGAGATGGTTAAAATAATTCAAAAAGAAAACCATGTCCTCTCTTAGTCTCTAAATCAGAAACTTAGCTCATAAGGCCAGTTAGAAAAAAAAAAAGATAACAGCAGTTAATATAGTCCACGTTTAGTCACACAATTCCTTGTCTCTAAATCCAGTGATTACTGCCACCTACATCCAGCGTGGGGCACCCTTAATCCTAGCATTGCACCAAAATGTAAATTGAAAAAGAAAGCCGTTTACAAACTGCAGTAAGTGGAGACCAGGTTAATTTCCAAAAACAAGGATAGCAATCAAACATGGATGACAAGGTATGCCACGCAAAAAAAAGGAAAAGAAGAAAAGAAAAAAGTCTGTTGTAGCTGCAAGAAAAACAGAAACCATTTCATTCCCTTCTACCATCCCTCATGATTGGAAAAGCAGCATAATCTCTGCTATAAAGAGTTCCTTGAATTCCCAGCATAAGGAGAGAGTCAGACAAAGCAGAAAAAACAGCCTTTGCAACTTTTTTTTCTTTTTTTTTTATCTTTTAGAAGCAGCATCTCGCTATGTAGTTCAGGCTGTTCTTGGGCTCAGTTTGTAGTCCAGAGTGGTCTCAAACTCACAATTATCCTCCTGTCTCGGCCTCCTGAGTGCTGGGATTACAGGAGTGCACCACCAAACCCCACCTCTTTGTAACATTTTAGAGAAAAACAAAAAGTGTGCCTATCCAACCTTACCTGGTTTCCTCCTGATTGGCTCGCCAAATGATGTTACCAGCTTGACACTTTCTAAAATGGCACACCAAATAAACAATACTGGAGTTTGTGGTGGTTGCGTCTCCTTCTGGAGTTGGATCCCAGATGCTTATCTCAAAGAATTGAATGAAATTGGCAAAACAAGCAAAAAATATGACAGCCAGGGATTTAGCTGAGCGGCATAAACTCTTGCCTGGCAAGCAGGAGGTCATGAGTCCAATCCCAGAGCCAAAACAACAACAAAAAAAAATATGACAAAGTTTACTTTAAAAAAGCAAAAGTGGGGCCTGAAGTTTAGCTCAGCAGCACAAGCACCTGCCTGGCAAGGGCCAGGTTGTGAGTTCGATCCCCGGTAACAAAACAAAAGTGAAGAGTGGGGGAGAAACTGGCTTTGCAGAGTGAGCTTGGGCTGAAAGGAGAGAAAAATTACACCCTGAAGGACACATGGTGGACACTGTAGTGAAAGCCATGGTACCAAGCTCTTTTTGGTGACTATGTCCTTTTACGCCTTCCACACCTCCAGGACACCTCTGAGAGCTTGCACTGGGATCCCACACCTGTCTTCCCAGCAGTCGAGGCCATGTCCCATCTCCTGTCCTACTGGGATGCTGAAGCAGGAAGATCACAGTTAGAGCCCAGCCTAGGCCAAGTGGGGACGTGAAAGCTTATCTCAAATGGAAAAAAGTACGAGGCATTGTGGTGTAGGCCTCTCATCCAAGCACTTGTGAGGCTGAGGCACATGACTGTTGTGATTTTGAGGCCAGGGCTACATCATGAATTCAAGACCAGCCATGAGTTACACTGTGAGGCCCTGGCTCAAAAGGAAAAAAAAGGCAAAGACACGGTCAAAATTCAGTTCATAGCAGAGACTCAGCAAGCAGAAAGTCAAAGGCCAAAATCCCAATGTCTTTTTGTTGGCGGTGGTGGTTTGTTTTGTTTTGTTTTGTTGGTTCGTGATCTAGTGCTTGCCAGGCAGGTACTTATGCCACTGAGTTAAATCTCTGGCAGAAACTCAATAGTTAGATGCCTGGCAATAAAAGATTAGTCCTGCCTTGGGGGCTAAAAATGTATTTATTTCAGAATTAATAAAAAATACATAAATATTCATGAAAGCTGATTTTGTTTTGTTCTTGCTTGGTTTGGTTTGTTTTGCTGAGTCGGGGCCTCTGCCCAGGTTGGTGCTGAGCTTCCGGCAATCCTCTTGCATCATCCTCCTGTACTCCAGTTTTGTTCTGAGATGATCTTACCGCATAACTCTGGTTAGCCTCAAATATATGATCTTTGTACTTCAATCTCCGAAGGGATGGGATTACAGTATACATCACCACACCTGGATAAAAGTTGAGATTTTTAGCTTACATTACTGAAGCACTACATGTAATTAAAATGTTGGAATAATACCAGGCTTTAAGGAGGTGAGATGCCTTACTTAAGAAAAAAATAATGCTTACTTCAAGTAGTCATATTGAATAAGACTAAAAATTAATCTGCTTAACCACAGCATAAATTCAAAAATGTTGGCAAATAGTAATCATCATATTATTATTATCTCCTTAAATTTAAGTATGGTAAATTGCCCGGTGAGGAAACCTAAAGTTTTATTTTGTTTGGTTGATTTTGTTTTTGGTTTTTGAGACAAGGTCTTGCTATGGACTTTAGGGTAGCCCTCAATTCACTATGTAGTCCAGATTGGTGTTAAACTCCTCCCTGTCTCCTGAGAGCTGAAGATACTACATAATGGATCTGACAGATAAAGTCCAGGCTTTTGTATATGACAAGCAAAGAACTGCAAGTGTATATCCAATGGGATAAAAGAGCAAGCAGCTACATTTATTGAGGATAACAGGAAGATGTGCTCAGAGAAGATCTGTGCCTGCACAGAAACAAAAACATGGCATAAACAGAAGAGTGGTGTCAATATTAGAGATAGCTTAGTTATTTAGAAATATGATAAGCAGTCAGACAGGGCTGGATCATTGAGAGATCAGTGCAGATGACAGCTGTGGCCAGAGGCACATTTCCTAAAGGCCAGGCATCAAGAAAAAGGA